CCCCCCCAAACAAAAACCAGATACACAAGAGAAAAGTAACTATGACCAGGGTTGGCGATGTAGCTCAGTGGCACCGCGCCTGCCTCGCAAGTGCAAGGTTGTGAGTTCGATCCTCGGTACCCCCGCCCAAACCAAAAAGTGACCAATTCATTAATGGGTATTCCCTCAAATGTAAAATATCAACACTAGGCTGCTTTCATCGGCCTTTAGCCTTGGATTCTTCAGCTCGTAGGAACAGCTCGTCCAGACGTGTCCGGTCCGAGGAGCGCGAGGAGTAGCTGCAGGAATGCAGAGGGTGGACTGCGGGATCAGGGCTGCCTCGCGCGGACACGGACACGGGGCGGACTGGAAAACCCTAAGAAGACCGCAGACCGACAAAGACCCCCGCTGCCTCCCCCCTGCAGCAGGTACACGTTACTGGGCGCCCGCCTGTGCTCAGACTGCCCGCCGAGCGCCGGGAAACAGTCAGAGCAGCAGGCCTCCTGCACCCAGGCTCCACAGCCCCGGACGCAGCCAACCGCAGGTCAGAAATAACCTGGAAGGTAAATCCGACTGTACAGGGACTCACACGTCTCCCTGTGTCTCTTCCCCACACGACACCGACACCCAGGACAACTGCTTGCGAAGACTCAGGAGACACTGCGGGATGCCGCTCACGGCCGGGGCTCGGAGCCCTCCGCACGCATGCGCGCAGGCAGGTGCGCCATGTAGCGTTAGCTCACACACTCGGGCACAAACACTGGACACGCTGAAGGCGCTCTTCGGACGGTAACTTACTCAGGCCTCCGTTCTCTAAGAGCGTGGGTGCCGGCTTGGGAGCACGCAAGGCCTTCTCACGTCGTGCTTCCAGCTCCTCACCACTAGCACAAACAGGTATTTTTACCCTTTTATAGACGGAGAAACCAAACACATAAGGTCAACTAAGTTATCCAGCGCCATAGCTGTCAGGGGTGCAGCTGGACCGAACCCACAGACTATGCACCCAAAATCGTCCTTCCTTCCTCACTGGGGTGGTGGGGTTTGAACCCAGGACCTCACACAGGCCAAGCCTGCTCCATCACTGAGCTCCAGGCCAGCCTGACTCCATACTCGCAAGCACTACACCGCATCATCTTCTGTTTGGTTTTCTTGAGACAGGGTCTCACTATGCAGTCTGGGGTGCCTTCAACCCTGCTGTGTAGCCGGGGTGGCCACAAACTCACTAACCTCCTGCCTCCGCCTCCTAAGGACTGGGATTATAGCCGAGCGCCACCACACTCAGCTACATTATCCTTCTTTTTTTTTTGGTACCGGGGATCGAACTCGGGTCCTTGTGCTTGTGCAACAGGCGGCAAAATACGTTATCCTTCTTTAAGCCTGTAACCATTCTGCCAAGTAAGTCTCTGCTCTCATTATGTTCATGTACACAGAAAAGACACACTAAAAGACAGGAGGAGGGGGTGATGGCTCACACCTGTAAACAACAGTACTGTGGGAAGCTGAGGGTCACAAATTCAAACCCAGCCTGAGCAGCTTAGCAAGACCCTGTTTCAAAATTTAAAAAAGGCTGGACATATAGCTCAGTGTGAAGACCCTGTGTTCAGTCTCTAGTACTGGGGGAAAAATACCAAGGGAAAGAAATTTCAAAACAAATTCTCCAAATGATCATTAATATATTCAGATAAGAGAAGATAAAGAGAAAGAGAATGGGTAGGACCTCCTAGAAACTGAACAAAAAAAATTAAAGGACTGGGGGCGGGGATTTAGCTCGGTGGTTCTGCCGCTTGCTTTGCAAGCACAAGGACCAGAGTTCGATCCCCGGTACCAAAAAAAAAAAAAAGTAACTAAAAATTAAAGGACTGAATAGAAGGTTGAAGAAATACGCCAATTAAAGTAAAACAAAAAAGAGGCAGAAAATAGGGGAAAAAATAAGAAATTAATCTAAGGAAGAGCATTTCCAGACAGACAAGCAACAGAAGAAAGGAAAATTGCAACAAGAAAAATGTCCTTTGCCAAGTGTGGTAGCACACACCTGCAATCCCAGCACTTGGGAGGCTGAGGCAGGAGGATCGTTGCAAGTTTGAGGCCAGCCTGGGCTACATAGTGAGTCCAAGGTCACCCTGAAGTACAAAGTGAAACCCAGTCTCAAAGACAGACCGACAGACAAGACAGATAGATGGGCTGGGGATTTAGCTCAGTGGCACTGTGCCTGCCTCGAAAGCGCAAGGTCCTGAGTTTGATCCCTGGTACCGAAAAACAAACAAACAAGACAGATTAATAAATTTAAAAACCTCCCCAAGTGGTAAGGTACACTTCTGGTTTGAACACATGAAAAAGGACTCACATCAAGGTGCTAAGAACACCAGGGTAAAGGGAAGATTCTAAAATCTCTCTCTTTTTTTTGGTACCTGGGATTGAACTCAGGACCTTGAGCTTGCCAGGCAGGCGCTGTGCTGCTGACCTGCATCCCCAGCCCTAAGATTCTAAAATCTTGAAGGGAGGAACCATGCCACAAAGGCTCAGGTATCAGAATGGCATTCTATCAAGCAGGTGCGAAGGTAGAATTTAGGCACATTCTGCCTTGCAAGGTTTTAATCATCTGTTCCCTCACGTGCTCTTTCCACACACTGTGTTTATAAAGTATCTCAAGACTGGCTTCATAAGAATGATGTTGGGAGATGAATGGAATTGAAAAGGCAGGACAGAGGAGAGCACTCTGGACTCCGTGGCAGGAACAGGACGGCTCTCCTGGCGGGCAGTCATCGCCTGCAGAAGGATGGTGTCAGCACGGCTGCCTGTCGGAGAACGAGAACTGCTGGGACCAGCATGTCTGGCTACAGCGCCTGTGACCCCATTACCAGCAGGGCTCCTGGGCTGACACTGCTGGCCAGGTGGGATCCCCTTCCTCCCCCACTGCCCCTGGGCATCCCCCTCCAAGCTGCACAGCGGGTGGGGGACAGTCTCAGACAGAGAAAGGCCACTCTCCCATCAAGGGCACACCAAGACATGCTAGAATCTGCAAATAAACTCTCAGGACTAACGTGTTTGTGGTGGGTGTGGCAGCGCACCCCTGTGATCCCAGCTCTTAGAAGGCCGAGGCAGGAGGAATCAGGAGTTCGAGGCCAGTCTGTATGACGTATATTGGGAGACTCTCAAAAACAAACAAAAAAAGCAAGAAAGATTCTGAATGTGAAAGTAGAACCCACCCACGATCTCGTCATACAGCTGTTACACTGCAGCCCCAGTGTGATACTGGGGCCTTTTTACCGGTGCACGAGTTTACACCACGTATCCCGGTCACTTGGAAAGTACTGGTCTCCGTAAGGGATATGAATTTGCCAAATGTTGACACATTTCATTATACAATAAAAAATTATGTTCACTAAAACTGATCTCATCAAGAAATTCTTCAAGGTTTGGGAAGCTGTCAAGTACATGATGGCAATTCTCCAAAATTTCTATTTTCACTAAAAATGTTGGATAAGTAAAATTTTATTGTTTGCAACAAATTTGTAGGTTGTTTTCCTTGAAGTGCCGCCAGGAATGTGAAATATCCAAGTCTGAGTAAACCATAGCCTGGGTATAAATCATTTTTCTCATGCAAAAATTGCCAAGAAAAATCAGATAGTTCAGTTTCTACCTCAGACAACTGGGGCTCCCCGTAAGACAGAGGTGTACACAGAGGTGTAGTGTGGAAATGCCACCTGCCTCCCACGTGGTGAGGTGTGTTCAGGTCTGGGACTTAGTAAGACTGCTATGCCTCACTGCTTCACCAGGGACAGTCCTCACGGAAAAGAGCTGTCACGTCTCCTTGCAAGCCAAGTGGCGAACACAGCAGTTCCTAGTTCAGTTGGAGCCAGTGTCTTCGTTCCTGCTGAGACGCCAGCCATTTTACTCACCATTGTTTCTGCAGTACCTATTCCTGGTCAACACTGAAAATGTAAGTATCTTTATTATGAATAAAGTTTTGACCTCAGGGACCTTCTAAAAGCTCTGCACTTTGAGAAATGCTGCGGGAGAAAAACAACTGCACACACTTACCTGCTTCTTCTGTTCAGTGGAGGATAAGCATTTGGCTCCAATCTTCTGAGCTTCCTCAAAGAGGCTGTCAACAAAATATTCACAATTCCTCTGTCGATTATCACTAAGCGGGTGATTGTCAGGTCCTGTTTCACAAACCCTAAACAAAAAAAGAAACATACGGGTCACTGACTGCTCGATCTGTAAAAATTCATCTGAATTCTAACGAAGGGATGCTGGAATGAAATGGTGCCTGCACACCTGCCGAGCTTTGCGGGCCTTCGTGCTGCGGAATGTTTAGTGTCCTTGGCCCTGACTCCTAAGATGCCACTAGCATGCACCCACCTCAAGGATTAGAATAACCAAAAAATGTCTCTGTACTTTGCCAAATTTGTCTGGGGACAAAATCTCACCAGATGGAAAACTGCCAGTCCAGAGTAAAGAATTTGGATGTGTCTTTAAAAAATTTTTTAGTACATGTTTGGAGTACATAATGATTACATTCACCATGAGCAGCTGGTACACGTACAGAACACAGCTAAAGTCTTTTCACATTACCCTCTTTCCCTCCCTGGTTTTGGTTTTTTCTTTTTTTTAAGACAAGTTCTTGCTATTGAACTCACTATGTAGCCCAGGCTGGCCTCAAACTCACATGGACCCTCCTGCCTCTGCCTCCTGAGGGCTGGGATTACAGGTGTGTGCCACCACACCTGGCTCCCCCTGTATTTTATTTTTTGGTACTGGGGATGGAACTCAGGACCTTGAGCTTGCAAGGCAGGTAACAGTACCACTGAGCTAAATCCCCCTATCCCCTGTATTATTTTTAAAGGGCTCAAAAGCCAGGCATGGTTCAGCACATGAATAATCCCAGCCCTGGGGAAGCTGAGGCAGGAGGACCATCATGAGATTGAGGTCAGCCTGGGTACATAGTGAGTTCAAGGCCCGCCTAAACTGCATAGCGAGACTCTGTCTCAAAAAAAAAGGGGCTCGAAATGAACAGCTACATTGCCAGGCTGGTCTCAAATCCCTCGACTCAAGTGATGCTCCAGCCTCAGCCACCTGAGTAGCTGGGACTATGTGCAGATGCCACTGCGCCTCTGTAAAAATATCTTTAAAGGGGGTACTATGTATTTTTTGGTAACAAAAACACTTGAAACTAAAGGTGAAAGAAGGGACAAGAAAAAAAAATACAAGAAAATAATTGCAACAAAGCTTTGTAAATAAAGAGGGGAAGAGGGATTGAAGGGAGGGGAGGAGAATGGGAAAAAAAAAAAAAAGCAAGATATATAATGTACAAGTACAAATTCCCAGGGCCAGGGATGTAGCTCAGTGGCACCACACCTGCCTGGCAAGCACAAGGTCCTGAGTTCGATTCCTGTACAAAAACAAAAAACAAAAAAGTACAAATTTCCTATTATGAATGTTATCACTGTGTACATCTAAAATATACCAATAGGGGCCGGGGATTTAGCTCAGTGGTTTCGCCGCCTGCTGCACAAGCGCAAGAACCCGAGTTCGATCCCGGGTTCCAAAAAAAAAAAAACCAATAAAAGTAAAAAAAAAACAAACTAAAGGTGATAAAATAAGAACAATATTTTTTTACCCTTGCACACTTCAGAATGAGTTTCCACTGATTATGTTATTTATAGTGGTACTTTTATCTTGTATTTATATTTCATCATACTCGAAATATCTAAAATTTTATTTGTTATAAAATGTTTCTGGCTGATCTTTACATCATGCAGAAAATTATCGAAGTACTAAAGTATAAGTCAGGCACAGGGATGAATGCTGTAATCAAGCTACTTGTAAAGCTGAAGCAGAAAGATGACAAATTTGAGGCCATTCTGGACAATTTCGCAAGACCCTGTCTCAAGATAAAATACTGAAATATAATTTCTCAGATTCTATCAATATTTTTTGTTTTTTCTTTGTTTAGGTTAGTTTTGTTTTTTGGTTTCCTGAGACAGGATCTCTCCATGTAGCCCAGGCTGCCCTAGAACTCGCAGAGCTCTTCCTGCCTCAGCCTCCTGAGTGTGGGACTACAGGTGTGCACCACTAGCTCAGCTCTAAATATGTTAGTAACAACAGTCAGTACCCTTACAACTTACACTGTGCCAGGAACTACAGGGAAGACACACTTACCCTGCAGCCAGCCAATCTACCTCCCAAGACTGCCCCCAACCATGGTACCCAAGAAAAAACTACCCTAGGCAATCTACATGTGCCAATTCATTCAATCTTCGAAATGATCCTCTCGGTACTAAGTACTAGTATTTCTTCTCTAAAGCAATGACGTTACCTCTTAAATACCAATAGTCACATCCCAAAGTGCTGAATAATAGTAATGATTTTTCCATTCCTTTTTTTTCTTTCTGGTACCAGGGATTGAACTCAGGACCTTGTGTTTGCCAGGCAGGCGTGGCTACTGAGCTACATCCCAGCTCGCTTTTTTTGAGACAGGGTCTTGCTATGTAACCCAGGCTGGTCTTCAACTCACTATGGAGCCCAAGCTGGCCTCAAACTTGTGAGGATCCTCCTGCCACGGCCTCCCAAGTCCTGGGATCACAGGTGTGTGCCACCACCCCCGGTTTCTTCCTTGCTTTTTTGTCAGTACAGCTGTGCAGCAGTACAGCATATTGTCTAAGAGTCTATGCTTTGGTGCTCCTGTTCAAACATTTTCACTTAGTCACAGCAAAAAACAGCAAACCTCAACAAGAAATTTAACTTCTGCCAGGCGTGGTGGTGCATGTCTGCAGTCCCAGCACTTGGGAGGCTGAGTCAAGAGTATTACCAAGAGTTTGAGGCCAGTCTGGGCTACAGAGTGAGACTTTGTCTCAAGAAAAAAGAAAAAAAGAAATGTAACCTCTATGTGCCTAAAATGCAAATACCACCCTACCTCAAATGGCCGTTGTGAGGATTACAGGAAAATACAGTGGATGTGATCATGCACAGCTCTAATCTCAGCACGCTGTGAAGCTGAAGCAGGAGGGTTCAAGTTTGAGCCCAGGCTGCTGGCTGTGGTGGCACACCCTGTAATCCCAGCACTTGGAGGGCTGAGGCAGCAGGACTGCTGTAAGTTCACTGGCAGCCTGAACTATAGTGAGATCCTGCCTCCAAAAACAAACAAACAAACAAACAAACAATAACCTACCTCCTCCTCCTCAAATAAATAAATACATAAATAAAGGCTGGGTAAGGGCAAAAGCCATGGGTTCAATCCCCAGTACTGGGGGGAAAAAATCTATAAAGAGGTTCAGGGCCAGGGATTTAAGCTCAGTGGTTCCGCCACCTGCCTTGCAAGTGCAAGGTCCTGAGTTTGATCCCCAGTACCAAAAAAAAAGATCAGACTATGTGGAATGTGAAGCTATACAGTAAGAAACAGTTGTAACAGAAAATAACTATAATAGATATTTATAAGACAGTTCAGAATATTAGAGGTAGGGCTTCATTGAAGAGGTGACAATGACTTTCATGTTTTCTTTCTCTTGGGGAAAGAAAAAAATGTAAGAAAGGCATTATGAGTGCCTCTATGTTCATAAGTGTTACAGATGAAATGGACCGGTTCCTTGAAAGGCACATAAAGAGGGAGAGATAACCTGAAAGACTAACATCTGTTAATGAATCAGGATCAACAATTAATCACCTTTCAGAACAGAAGCACCAGACCTGGATATTCCATTGGTGAATTCTGCTAAGTATTTAAGGATGAAATGATACTAATTCTCCACACGCTCTTGTAGACAACAGAAGCAGAGGGAAAACTAATTGTGAGGATAGCATTACCCTATTACTAAAGCCAGGAGACATATCATAGGAAAGGAACACTGCAAGCCAGGCCTGGTGGGCATGATGGTAAATGGCTGTAATCCCAGCTACTTGGGAAGCTGAGGCAGCAGGATCTCGAATTCCCAGTCTTGGCAACTTAAAAGACCCTGTTCAAATAAAGAGGATAAAATTGCTGAGGATGAAGCTGGGCACTTCCTGATTTCAATCAATACAACAACAAAAATAAAAACAAAAAGGAGGAAAACTACAGAAAACAAGTTTCATGAACATAGATGCAAAAATCCTCAGTAAAGTATTAGCACATCAGCCAGGCCTGGCGGTGCACGCCTGTAATCTCAGCACTGGAAAACTGAGGCAGGAGAGTCCAAAGTTCAAACTCTGCCTGTGGAATTTAGCAAGAGCCCAGCTAAAATAAAAAGTGCTAGGGATGAAACCCAGCGTAAAAGCTTGAGTTCAATCTCCAGTACCCTCATGCTGAAAAATCAATGTGTAAAAGGAATTATACACCACAAGCAAGTAGAATTTATCGCAATTATGCAAGGCTGGTTCAACATCTGAAAATCAAGTAATCTATCAGTCTAACAGGCTAAAGAAGAAAAATAATACAATCCCATCAACATATGAAAGAAATGCATGTGATAATATCCAATACCCATTTATGATAAAATCTCTGGAAACTAGCCAGACATGGTGGCACACACCTGTAATCTCAGCACTGGGGAGGCTGAGGCAGGACTGCTGTGAGTTCAAGGCCAGCCTGGGCTACACAGCAAGACCCTGTCTCAAAAACCAAAACCAAAACCAAACCAAACCAAACCAAAACAAACACTAACAAAAACAAAACTCTGCAAACCGTAAGTAGGGGGAGACTTCTTCAATTTGTCAGATAATTTCCAAACAACAAACTCTACAGCTAACATCACACCTAACGGTGACAAACTAGATGCCTTTTCCCTAAGATTAAGACTAGGAATCGAGGCTGGGGATTTAGCTCAGTGGTTCCAGCGCCTGCCTCGAAAGCCCAAGGTCCTGAGTTCGATCACTGGTACCAAAAAAAGACAAAAAAAAAAAAAGACTAGTAATCGAGTGCAGCATCACATGTCTGTAAACCAGCACTTTGGAAGGTTGAGGCAGGAGGACTGCAAATTGGAGCCCCGAGTTTCATCCCCTGCAATACCAAAAAAACAAAAACAGGGCCGGGGATTTAGCTCAGTGGTTTTGCCACCTGCTGCACAAGCGCCAGGACCCGAGTTTGATCCCCGGTACCAAAAAAACCCCACAAAACCCCCCCAAAACAGGTAAGGTCCAGAGTTTGATCCCTGGTACCAAAAACCAAACAAACAAACAAGGCAGGGGCCAGGGATTTAGCTCAGTGGTTCCGCAGCCTGCCTCAAAAGCACAAGGTCGAGTTCAATCCCCAGTACCAAAAAAAAAGGCAGGGATGATCACCATTCCTTCTCAAAAGACACTGAAGGCCCTACCTAACTAAACCGGTAAAGTAAGAAAGGGGAGTAACACCTATATATACATTGGGAAAGAAGAAATAAAATCATCTTTGCTTGCAGATGACTGTGTATGTAGAAAATTCAAAAGAAACAACAAAGTCCTGGGACTAGTAAGTAATTATAGCAAGGCCACAGGACATGAAGTTTAATATACAAAGAAAAAAAACAAAGAAAAAGAAAATATAGAAAAGCCTTTCCTATACAACAGCAACGAACAATTACAACTTTTCTCTCTCTGGTTCTGCAGTCCTGGGGACTGGGCCCCAGCTTTGGACTGAGCTATACTCCCGGCCCTTTTTATCTTTTATTTTGAGACAGGTTCCTGAGCTCCGCTGCCCAGGCTCTAACTGTGATCCTCTTGTTGCAACCTCCCAGAATGATGCTGATAGGCAGGAACCCCACACCTAGCTTCACAGACCCGCTTTCAAGGGTGACCTTGCCACAGCGTCCATGAACTTGGGTTTCAGGAGGGTCTGCTATGCTTTAGATCCAGAATGTCCTCAAAAGGCTTGTATGTTCAGAGGATGGGCTTCTGGAAGGGGACTGGACTGTGACGGCACCATACTCTCACTGTTAAACCGCTTGAGTTCAGAGCTGAATGTGCTATTAGGAGGCAGGGTCTGGTCTGAAGAGGTGGGTTTCTGGGGCACAACCTAGAAGGTTTATCCCCCTCCCCGCTACTCCCTTCTGTACTTCCTGGCTGCAATGAGATGAGCAGCAGTTCTCTACCCATGCTCTCCCACCATGCCCTTTCTCCCCTGGAGCCAGCCTATCAATTACAGTCTCTAAAAGCCATAAAGCAATACTAATCTCTCTTCTTTTAAATTGTGGGTGTTGGATATTTGTCCAGTAAGGAGAAAAGTGACTAAGACAGTTCCCATCACCCTAGTTTATAAGAGTGGCCCAAAGTAATTAAATAGTTGGTATAAACAATGTGGTTTATATTGAAATCCTTCTTTCCTTAAGAGAGGCTGGAATTTTAGCATGTGATTAACTCCCGAGGAAGTCCCTGGGCTCAGCCGGGAATGATGGTTCACGCCTATAGTCTCACCTACTTGGGAGGCTGAGGCTGGAGGATCACTGGAGCCCGTGAGTTCAAGACACAGCCAGATTCTGTCTCAAAGAACAACAAAAACCAGAAACACCGGGGAACCAACTACATCCTGGGTGACTGCCAGGCAGGGACTCTGCAAAGCGTACGTGTGGTTTCCCTAGACCACACCCCATGCACTTTGCCCCTGTTGGTCTTGGTTTGTGTAAGTCACAGCCACAAGTAAGACTACTCGCTCAGCTCTGTGACTCTAACAACTCATCCCCAAAAAGTGTGAGCCCTGAGTTTGATTCCCAGCACAAAAAACCCCCCAAAATTCTAACAACTCATCAAACTGGGGGTGGGGGTGGGGTGTGTCTCACGGACCTCTGACACAGCCTCACGATGACATAATTAGTATCAAACTGATTTTTAAAAGAAAAAAATTTATTTTTGAAAAAGCTCAAGTAAAAAATACATAAATAACATCTGTTTGGTATAGGAGTGTTTAAAAGGCATTAAAAGTACATAGCTGACAGGGATTTAGCTCAGTGGTTCTACTGCCTGCCTCACAAGTGCAAGGTCCCGAGTTCGATCCTCTGTTGGAAAAAAGAAAAGAAAAAAAAAAATACATAGCTCTCTGCTAGCTTAAATAAAGAAATTTGCCCCAAGTTTTTAAAAACAATGAGTACAAAACAGAGTATTTCACCTCAGATAAGTGAAAAAAAAAATTCTACATTGATAAAAACCATAGACTCTATCATTAAGTGCCCAATATGTGCTAACATAGTACTATGTTAAATACTTTACATCTACTATGTAATTCTCACAAAAATCTTTGAGATAGCCACACATCCACATTCCCTTTTATACATAATATATAGAAACGCCAAGAATCTAGTAAGTTGCCCGCAGACCAGAGATGAAATACAAGGCAGAGATGGGATTCAAACCTAGGTTTATCTGACTCCAGAGCCAGCATATTTCTATTCCAATCCCAAGACAGTTCTCTAGGAGACCAGACAATGAGGACTGAGGCCTAACTGACCTTTTCTTCAAGCACAAAAGAGGAAAACAGCAAGCCATCCCTCCTTTGGCACGATGCAGGTTCCAGGGCAGTACAGCCGAGGTCTGGATGCCTACCTGGGAGCACGCTCTAGGTAACAAGCTGCCGATGAAGCTTCTTTAACCTAATGCTTACTCCCCTCTAAATGAATAAAAGCAGGCGAGCCATTTTAAATGCTCAGGGTTCTTTATCCACCAGAGGCAATAGCCCCCTGGTCCCTTCATTCTAAATTATCTCTGTGTCTGTGTCTTTAATCTCCATTTCCCTCTCTGGTTAGTCATTCTTAGCAGGTTGGTCTTCTGCAAGCACAGCACAAGAAGCTAATGAAATAAATAAACTTCTCACTTACCAGAGGCAATGTGTGGACAGAAGTAATTTTTTCATTAATTAAAAAAATTGAGTACCTTCATTACAATCAGTTATGATAAAAACACATCAAAATATATTACTACTAAGTCTTTACTGAGGTAGTTATACATAATTAAAACTTATTTCAGGCCAGAGTTTTAGCTCAGTGGTGCCGATGTCTGCCTCAAAAGCACAAGGTCCTGAGTTTGATCCCCGGTACCAAAAAACACAAAAAACAAAAACTTATTTAAAAAAAACCCTTATGTCACTATTTCTCCTAGTGACATGCAATAAAAATGAAGAAAGATAATAACAAAGGCATTCAATAATCCCAGCACTTGGGAGGCTGAGGCAGGGGCATCACTATGAGTTCAAGGCCAGCCTGGAATACATGCTGAGACCCTATCTCAAAAACAAAGACAAAGATAACAACAAAGACACTAACAAAGAAATTCAGAGTTTAAATTAACTTACCATTCTTCTTTTATACTTTCAAGATTATCTACTTCTTTCATTCTCTTGGTGTTACTGTAAAAGAAAAGCTAAAGTTCTCAATTTAGAATTTTCATTCCTATGTACATATCTATATACTTTTTTTTCATATCTATATACTTTAACATACAAATTATGTAGCCCTAACATAGCACTAAGAGGGTCTTAGGAACATGTGACCAAACTCAAAATTGTCATTTTCATCTATAAAATAAGCAATAAGAAAAGACAGCTTTGCAGAGGTTCTTTTTTAAATTTTTTTTGTTACCAGGGATCAAACTTGGGACCTTGTGCTTGCGAGGCAAGCAATAGAACCACTGAGCTAAATCCCCGGCCCTGCAGAGGTTCTTATATCTATCAAAATAGCCACACCTTCAATCCCTGAATAGAATTTTCATATTATCCCTTACCAAGGGTCATTTGAGCATTTTTCTTCTGTAACAGAAGTTTGGAACCACATAAATATTTCATACATTTATAAAACAAAAATCATTAAATACTGAGAGTAAAAATAAGACAAATGGAACTGAACTGACTAGTGATTTGAAATGATGTCAAGAAACTTGAAAATACAGTCATTTAGGGCTGGGATCCAGCTCAGTGGTAGAGTGCTTGCCTAGCATGCATGATGCCTTCAGTTCCATCCCCAGCACTGCAAGCACACATATAAAACACAGTAATTTGCGAATCTTTCTGTGATGAATCTTAGGGGGGAAAGTCTGGTAATCAAACACTATTACTGTGACAAAGAAACCGAGAAAAGCAACTGAAAGGAGGAAAGATGTATTTTATTTGGCTCATGCTTTCAGAGGTTTCAGTCCACGGTTGGTTGGCTCCCTTGCTACGGGTATTCGGCAGGCAGAGACATCAAGGCAGAAGGGCAGGCAGGAGGCAAACTGCTCACTTTACTGCAGCTGCGAAGCAGAGCAATCAGGAGCTTGAGGGGAAGGCTCTGGGAACATAGCTATAGTCCGGAAAGCTATGCTCCCATGACTTGCCCTTTCAACCTAGCTCCACTCCTGTTTCCATTACCTCCCAATAATGCCACTGGACTATGAATCTATCAGTGAATTAATTCACAGATGAAGCCAGAGCTTCAAGATCCAATCCCTTTTCAAAAGCCTACCTCTAACACAAGAACCGTTTTTTGGGGGGTGGGGGACTTTTTTTGTGACAGGGTCTTACTATGTAGCTCAGGCTGACCTTGAACTCACTACGTACCCCAAGGCTGGCCTCGAACTCCTAGGATCCTCTTGCCTCTGCCTCCCGAGTGCTGAGATTACTTACAGGCATGCATGACCATGCCTGGCTGGGAGGGCATTTTAGACCCAAGTCCTACAAATAACTTCAAGTACATTTGAGTAATCATATTAATAGCATGAATAAGTTGGGGGTGGTGGCATGCACTTGTAATCTCAGCACCTGGGAGGGTGAGACAGGAGGTTCACTGAGTTCCAGGCTAGCCTGGGCTACATAATGAGTTCAAGGCCAACCTAAGCTACATAGGGAGATGCTGTCTTAAAAAAAAACATTAGGCCAGCAATGTAGCTCAGTGGCACAGCTTCTTTGCCTGCCAAGCACGAGTCCTGGAGTCCGATTCCTGGTACCCAAAACAAAACAACTACAATACTGTTTTTCATAAATCTATGGTATAAGGATAAAGCAGTTGGTCTCAACCAGAGGTAACTGCTCCTCAGAAGACATAATGGCAATAGCTGGAGACATTTTTGTTGTCACAAGTAGAGTAGAAGAGTGCTGTTGTCCACACAAGAAATTATTCTGCCCAAATGTCAAGTGTGAGGTTGAGAAACCCTAGGATAAAGCAAAGAATGCACCATGACTATGGGTACAGATGAAAACAAAACAGCAACAAAACCATAAAGGCTGGGTGTGGCAGCGCTTGCCTGTAGTTCCAAGCTACTCAGGAGGCAGAGAGGTATGAAGATCTCCTGAGCCCTCAAGTTCAAAGTCCCGCCTGGTACTGTGAGACCCTGACACATATACATCCCCAAGCACTATACTGACATTTTATTAGCCTTTTAAAAGGCAGTAGTTTTGTTTGTTTTTTAAAGGCAGTGGTTCTGTTCTATCAGAAACTACTCTTGCTGGACTCAGTGGCCCAGGCCTATAATTTCAGCTACTTGGGGGTTAAGGGCTGGGTGGAAAACAAAGCAGAAAATTACTTTCAGTAATTTAAGAACAGCAGTTATGGGCCAGGGATTTAGCTCAGTGATTTCGCTGCTTGCTGCGCAAGCCCAAGGACCCGAGTTCGATCCCTGGTACCAAAAAAACCAAAAAAACAATGGCAGTCATTCTAAAGATTTGGGTCCTTGGTAAAAATGATGCATCTCTCTAAATTATGTGAAGCTGTGATGAGTAACCATGAATTTATATTTAAAGTGATGAGTTGAGAATATTTGTTATGTCTAAAATTTGCAAGAAGGACAGTTTAAAAAGCTTCATAAGACAGCTAGTTGATTCACGGCTTAACAGCAATGTGGGCAGAGAAAACTTCAGTGGTACATCGATAGTGCTACATGAAGTCAAACAGGAAATACTTATGAACCGCCTGTTACACAAATTAATCAATTATTTAAACTCAGCTGAGGAAAATTTCTGTCTGTTCTATCTAATCTGGGGCTTACTAAACTGAGGAAAACACAACTAAACTGAATTCAGAAAAAAGTCAATGACTTTCTAACAAACTGAAATTAAACTTTAAACTGACACAGTAGAACATGCCTACAATCCCAGCTACTGGGAAGCTGAAGCAGGAGGATCACAAATTCAAAGCCAGGCTGGGCAACTTAGCAAGTCCTTGTCTAAAATAAAATAAAATTTTAAAATAGAGGGAAGGGTGCTCGCTTCAGCAGCACATACACTAAAACTGGAACGATACAGAGAAGATTAGCATGGGCCCTGCGCAAGGATGATACGCAAATTCGTGAAGCGTTCCATATTTTTCTATGTAAATAGGGAAGGGTGGAAGGGGTGAAGGGTGCACAGATAATGGGGAAAAAATAAGAACCAAGATACATCATGTACAGGTACAAGCACCCAATGAGAAATGTAAATGTATTGTATACCTAAAATGTACCAATAAAGAATTTAAGGAAAAAAAAAAAAAAAAAAAGAGGGAAGGCTGGGAATATAGCTCAGGGGCAAAGTATTTGGTCTGCACCCATAAATAAGGTCTTGGGTTTGATCCCCTTTACCGGGAGGAAGAAAAGCACGTTTCAAGCAAATCTAGCAGAGGGCAGATCTGCTCAGTGACACCACTAAGCTCTACCAGATCCATCTCAAAGCAATGGGAACCCGAAAATGGACACTAGAAACAGTCCGCTGCTCTCACTCCCAAGTATCTGGAGGTGGTTTTAACCCAAGACACTGAGGTGCTTTCCCACAGGCAGCCTCCTGGATGGTTTTAGCCCCTGCCATCCCGGCTTCCTGTAGGTAATTAAGCGGGGCCTGCAACCACAGCCCACTTGGCTGCAGCGCTAACTCACATTTTGCCTGTTTTCTAGGTGTTGTTCCTCATGCCCTAGTTCCGAGATGTTGAACCTTTTCAATGATATAAACAGCCCACAGTGGCATACCTGCCACAGATTCGCCACCACTGCCCGGGTTGTTACAGAATTAAGTTTGTTACTGACTAGAACTTAAGAGAGGAAAAAAATATTTATGAAATTTAGATCTGGGAATTCTGAGCCAGGAAAACTGGGTGTAGACTGGGTAGGAATAATGGCCATAAAAGGCAGTCACAATGGTAGAGGAGATGCAGCTCAGTGGTACAGGGCTTGTCTAGTATGCTCAAGACTCTGGGCTCAATGTCCAACAGCCAACCAACCAACCTCCCTCCATAAATACTGAAACCAGAAACATGAGATATGGGCTAAAACAGAAAACATTTGAAACCTATACTAAAATGTTGCACACAAGATTTTAAAGGAATTGGGCCGGGGATTTAGCTCAGTGGTTTTGCTGCTTGCTGTGCAAGCGCAAGGTCCTGAGTTCAATCCCTGGTACCAAAAAAAAAAAAAAAAAAGATTTTCAAGGAATGATGGTAGGATAGTTGCCAGGTGTGGTGGTGTATGTCTATAATACCAGCACTTGGAAGGCAAGAGGATTGCAGGTCTGAACTACAGAGCAAAAAATTATGTGTATGGATATATATATTGAAAAAAGAAATTATGTGTATGGATATATATTTTCCCATTAAAAACCATTTTAAAGCCAGACATGGTGGCACACACCCTTAATCCCAGTGGTGAAGCGGCTGAGGCATGAATATCACGAGTTTGAAGCCAGCCCGTGCTACATGGATGAATTCAAGGCCAGCTTGAATTACATGGTAATGCTACCTCAAAAAAAAAAAAAAAAGAAAAAATCAAAACCAAACAAAAAGCCCACAAACAAAAACCAAAACTGAGCTACTCGGAGATTTAGGCAAGAAAATCTCAGATTCCAGGACTGGGTCACAAAGTAAGCTCAAGGTCATCTTGGACTCAAAATGCAAACAAGCCAGGTGCAGCCACGCATGCCTGTGATCCCAGCACTCAGGAGGCCAAGGCAGGAGGGTTGGTGCAGGCAGCCTTATAAACTAAGGGCTATACAGTGAGTTCAAGGCCAGCCTGAACCACACAGTGAGACCCTGCGCCAGAAACCCTAAATAAATCAATAAATAAAACATAAAAAGTGTATTTACTGAGCACCTGATATTATACCAGGCAGGATTCTAGGTGTTTAGGATACAAACTGGGCAAAATAGACAAAAAGCCACTCAGTGTTTACACACATTACATTCAGATTGGGATGCTTGCTTTTACTTAACAGTTTTCCAACATTATTTTCGACTAATTCAAAATAATCTTCTAAAATTAACAATAATACATTGTCTATTTCAAAATAGCTAAAAGAATAGATTTTGACTATTCTCACCACAAAGAAATGATAATCATTTGGAGGTGACGGATATGCGAGTCAGTTTTGATACATGTATCTACACATCACACTGTACCCCATAAATATATACACTTTGAAAACTTTCAAGTTTTTTCTAAAGCTCTTAGTTTATATATGATCTTTACTGTTCCAAACACAACACATTCAGTTCTTAGTTCACACTGTATCCATCCTCCTACCTATTCAATTCTAAGTATCTTTCAAGTGCTAGATCAAGACCCATTTCCTGCCTCAGTGGTGGTATAGGACACACCTGTAATCCCAGCTGCTCCAGAGGCTGAGGCAGGACAAGTTCAAGGCTGTCCTGGGCAGCCTTGAGACTGACTCAAAAAATAAAAAAGGGCTGAGGATGTAGCTCAGTGGTACAGCACCCCTGGTTTAGATCCTCAATATTGAGGAAAAAAATCAATTTCCATAATAAAGATGAAGTATTAAATCTTTATTAATATTCCTTTTTTTTTCGGTACCAGGGATTGAACTCAGGACCTTGTGCTTGCCAGGCAGGCGTAGTGCCACTGAGCTACATCCCTGGCCACTACTGTTGAAGACAGGGTCTCCCTATATAGTTGAGGCTGGCCTTAAATTCACTATGTAGCCAGGTGTGGTGGCCCATGCCTGTAACCCCAGCATTCAGGAGGCTGAGGCAGGACAATTGCAGCAAGTTCAAGGCTGGCCTGGGCTACATAGTGGATCAAGGCCATAGTGAGATCTTCTCTCAAAAAACAAAACAAAACAAGAAAAGTATGAGGTCCAGGCTGGCCTCCAACTTGCAGCAATCTTCCTGCTCCAGCCTCCCAAGGGCTGGGGTTACAAAGGCATGCCACTACACATGACTGATTATTGCTTCTTTTACCTCTTTCTACTAGCACCAAGATCCTTAAGGACATGTACCATGACTTACACATTTCCTGTTTCTTCTACAGTGTGTATCAAATGCAAAAAGTAGTTATCCTTAAAGAATTGCACTGTTTCTCTTTAATAGGAATTGCACTGTTTCTCTTTAATAGAAAATTGCTAATAATTTTTCATCATTTTATACTTATAAGCTGATAAACTGCTTTTATGTTTTATGAAAATAAAACAGAATGAAGATAGAACAGACCTTGAATTCAAATTGCTGTGTCCTGGAACATCAGTCATCCGCTTCTGAGCTGGGTGACTCTGCACATGTTATTTAACTTCTCTGAGTCCCACAGCATGGAGATAATCATCCTCCTCATCAGGTTGCTTTGAGGACTAAAGGGAATACTGAGCACACAATCATATTATGCTCTTTTCTCCTCCCTCCACCATATGTCTGTTGTAGTGATCAGTAAGAAACATCTTCAGGCTGGGTGCCTGAAATCTCAGAACTCGGGAAGCAGAGGCAGGAGGATTGCTACCAGTTTGAGGCCAGCCTGGGGTACAACAGTGAGTTCAAGGCCAACCTGAACTATATAGTGAGACCCTGTCTCAAAAAAACAAAGCAAGAGAAAATCAACTTCAGTAAAACTTGGTGTGTGATACTGGGAATTGAAGCCAGGGCCTTTGCACTGAGCTACAATGTCAACCCTTTTTTATTTTGAGAGAGGGTCTGACTGAGTTCAAACTTGCAATCCTCCTGGCTCAGCCTCCCAGAATGCTGAGATTACAGGCATGTGCCATCACGCCCAGCTACATCTTCAGAAAATCATAATTTTAGGGGTTCAGTGGTAGAGTTCTTGCCAGGCATGTGCAAGGCCCTGGGTTAGATCCCCAGCACCATCAAAAAAGTCCTAATTTTTACATGGCTATGAAATTTTGGACTTTACTTATTAAACTTTTTTTTTTGGTACCGGGGATCGAACTCGGGTCCTTGCGCTTGTGCAGCAGGTGGCGAAACCACTGAGCTAAATCCCCGGCCCTACTTATTAAACTTTTAACAACATGGATACACTTAGTGAAGCTCCCACCACTGTGTGCAAATCACTGGTGTAGAGCTAATGATATACAAGCGTCAGTATGGCAGGCTCTACTACAGTTCACAGACTAACTAGGAAGAATATATTGAATTACTGATCACAAATATGGCATCGAATTATGAAATAAAATTAATTGTAACATGGAGACATAGTTACCATTATTTTCTGTATGTCCTATCATAAAAGCAATGTACAAATTGTAAGAATTTACGTATAGCAAGCCAATGAGCTTCCACAAATGTATCACAGTCAGATGACATGAATGAACCTAAGTCATATACTGTACTGCAGCACATAAAAGAAGCCATCCAACAAATATCTGTTCTGAAAAACAAATTTCTTTCATTTTTTTTCTTCCATCTCACATTTGTATTATATATATGTTTATCAATTACCTTATCAAGTATTATCCCACTTACTCCCAACTGTGGTGATAAAAACCAGTCAGAAAACAGAATAGTCTAAACTTTAAACTGGGTGAGGTGGCACACACTTGTAATCCTAGCACTCAGGAGGCTGAGGCAGGAGGATCACAGCGAGCTGGAGGTCAGCCTAGGCTACATAGTGAGTTCAAGGCCAGTCTGAACTACATAGTGAGAACCTGGCTTGAAACAAACAAAGGGCCGGGGATTTAGCTCAGTGATTCCACCACTCGCCTCGCAAGCACAAGGTCCCAAGTTTGATCCCTGGTACCAAAAAACCCCCCAAAAACCAAAAAAAACAGAAACAAGGTCTTTAGGGACTGGGGATTTAGCTCAGTGGTTTCGCCACCTGCTGCACAAGCCCAAGGACCCGAGTTCGATCCCTGGTACCAAAAAAACCAAAAAACCCAAAAACAAACAAAAACCCCCAAAAGAATAGACTGAGGTTGTGGAACATATCCAATAAAAGGAAAGTTCATTCAAATAAATTTAGACTACTTGGGAGATAGTCTTTTTAACATACACAGATTTTTTTTTTTTGGACAGGGTCTCCCTATGTACCCCAGGCTGGCCTCCAACTCTTGGAGATCCTTGTGCCTCAGCCTCCCAACTGCTGGGAATACAGGCTTGGGTCACCATACCCCACTCCAGAATTTGATTTTAAAAATTACGCCGGCTGTGGGGCATTCCTGTAATCACAGCACTTGGGAGGATGAGTCAGGAGAATTGCCACAAGTTCAAGCCCAGCCTGTCTCAACATCCTCCCCGACACAGACTGCATAGCAGGGTATGGCAGCTCCTGTGGGAGGCTGAGGTGTGAGCTGCAGGCCAGGCTGGGGGAGGAGGCTGGTTCCAAATCCATCCTTAGCATTGCTTAAAAGGCCCACATCATTGTCAGGCCCTGACCTGCTTTATCATGGATGCCTTTTGTTATGACCCTTAAAGTTCCTGAACTGGCCATCTTCCCAGCCCCTGGGAAATCTATTTCCTTTGCCTGGAGTCTTCTCTCCCTCAGAAGCCAAACTTCACCTGACTCTCACCTACCCATGGAAACTTCAGCTCAAAGATTACCGTCCCAGGAAAACCTTCCCTGATTTCCCCAGCCGGCGATAGGCTCCTCTATTACACGCTCTCAGACTCTTTCTTAGCTTCTATCTCAGCTTACTTAGCTTACTGCCATTTCTTTATTTAATACCTGGTTTGGCCAATGACACTGTAGTCTAAAGGCACAGTCTATAAATGTCACCGTATTACCCTTAACAATCAGTACATAACACTAAAGCTTTGAGTAACAGTAAATAATTCAGGTATTAAGTAATCAATGTTGTTATTAAGGCAAATACGCTCGTAGTCGGGACCACCGGGTTTGGGGCAGATCATAGAACCCCAGCCCTCAGGAGGCTGAAGTAGGGGGACCAGCAGCTGGAGGCCAAGCTGGACCACACAGCCAGCCTCAGAACCCGAAGACCTCTCAGGAGAGCGCCCAGCTAGCTAGGTGCACAGTGCGCGCTAGGAGCTGTCACCACTGCACTCCGCCTAGCGCTACTGCACCGTGTGGCTCTTCCTTCCCTCCTCCTGCACACAAATCCGTACGCAGTCCTGGATGCCCCCGGTGCCGAGTACTAAGCGAGCAAGGTCCAAAAATGGTGGCGTTGACATAAACACTACTTCCACAGGACAGGGCGTCACCGCGTAGAGCGCTCTCCTCCAGGAGCTACGCCTTCAACACCCCGCCGCTGCTTCCCGCGACAGGGCCAGGGCGGACGCAGTCCCCCTCCACTGTGCACATCTCAAGTCCCGCACCGAGGAGCCCCGCGGCCCCCAAGGGCCAGAGGGGGTTCCCGCGCGCCTTAGCGGCTGCGAGCGCCTGGCGGCCGCGCGAGGCTCCCGCGTCCCGAGGGCAGCGCGGCCCGGAGGCGTGAGCCCCGGACTCGACCACCCAGGCCTCCCCTCCGCCCCGCCCCGCCCCGCCCAGGAAACTCACCCTGGGGCGCGGCCGCGCGGCCTGGCCCTCCAGTCCCTCGGGGCCCGTGGGCACCGTCGCCACCACCCGGCGGGAATCGCTCCGGACGGCGCGCCACCCCCAAACCCGTTCAGGCTACGCGGTCGCGCGCTGGAGTCACGCGCGCCTCCCGCGGCCTCCGCAGGGCGCGGGCGCTGGGGACGGGGGGCAGGCCGGGCGCGGGGTGGGGCGGGGCCGGGCGCGGGGCGGGGCCAGGCGGGAGGCTGGGGCGGGGCCGGGCGGCCGGGAGCCTCAGGCCTCGAGTTGCGCGCTCATGGCGGCCGGGCCTCCTCACGCAGGCGCACCTGCTAGTAACCGCCGCCGAGGGCGCGGGAAACGCAGGGAGCTTAGTGTGGGCTCGCCCGAGAACTCGGGAGTCCACGTCCTTACCTCTGCGCGTCTGCAGCCTCCGACGGTTCCCGTGGAGAGACTTCCCCGCTTCGTGGTGGGCCCGTCGAACTTGACGTCGACGCTGTCGTCCGGAGAGTGACGGTTAAACAATTACCCCACCCCTCTGTGCTCCTGAAAGGGTTTATCCAAGGCCCACCCTTCCCCGTAGGATTTAGGGGCCACCCCGTACCCCCGGCTTATCCATGACAAGGTCAGATGTAGACCCTAGAAATTCCTTTTAAAAACTGGTTTTTTTGGTACCGGGGATCGAACTCGGGACCTTACGCTTGCGAGGCAGGTGACGGAACCACTGAGCTAAATCCCCAGCCCTGCTTTTAAAAATTTTTTTTAGTTTGGTGGTGGGGATCGAACCCCCGACTTCGCAGTGAGCTCTCTCCCTCTCTTTGAAGTCGGCACTACGTTGTCCGAGATGGGCTGGAACTTGTCGCCGCAGCCTTCCAGCCTCAGCCTCCTGGAGTGCTGGGATTGCTGACCTGCCTCGCCACGCCCCGCCCCACCTCCCATTCTTTGCCTCCTAAGTGATTGATCGCTCTCGCTGTAGTCAGAGTAACAGCGGCCCGTCTTGACCTAACTTCGCTTCAGCGACTCTCCCCTCATTCCTTTAAACCCGGACCCACGCTCAGCCCAGGTAGGAAGCAATTTTTTCTTCCACCCCTCTCAGACGCTGACCGACCAGTTCTTCCTCCTGCCTCAGGTCTTTACCTTGTTTACCTCCGTTAAAGGGGAGCCCTTTTCTGTCTAACCGGTGAGTCAGTTGTGTAGATCTCATAGTCAGGGCGGTCTCCCCTGGGGCACTAGTGCCTCCTTCCCACTGCCCACTAGTTTCTTTCTTTTTGGAATAATCTTTTCTGCTTCACTCTTTACCTAAATCTAGATTTCTCCCTGGAAATTGAACCCAGGACCTTATGTGTGCTAGGCAAGCTCTTTACCATTGAGCTACATCCTCATCCCCCTAAGGTTTTTTTTATTTGACAGTTAAATATTCACCTTGTTGCAGTAGCAGGACTTCCTTACAATAGTACAAACAATCTCAAAATTTTGACTTGCCTAAATTAGGATTTGTTTTTTCACTTGACAGTGCCAGGACTCAGTTTGAGATAGGGACTTCCACAGACTCCTGCCATTGCTTCCTGGTAAGGGCAGTTTTGAACAAATTTTGAACAAATTTCCTGTTTTCAGCTATTTGAAGATCCCATGATGAATTCAGCTCTCTAAATAGCACTCCTAGCTAAAGCGTGGTGATGCACACCTGTAATCCCAGCACTTGGGAGGCTGAGGCAGGAGGATCACTGTGAGTTTGAGGGCAGCCTGAACTACATAGTGAGACCCTGTCTCAAAAAAAAAATCATTGACCATAGATGTATTCTGATTTGATTCTATTGATTGTTCATCTGTCCTTTTGCCAGTATCATACAGTATTGTTATCAAATGGGGGTCTTGTCCAGGGTCTTGGTGTCCTGAACAAAGAGTTGAGCAGGATGCCCAAAAGCATCAGCAAGATCAAAGATTTATTTGAAATTGAAAGTATGGGCTGAGGGGGCTTGGTGTCCAGGGCTTAGAGCATTAGAGTTTGAGGTGGGATTGAGGGGCTGATCTGAGGTTCAACTCTTGCCGGGGCAGTGGAGATTTTGACCTTTTATGGCCTTTGGAGGAACTGTTATGGCATCAAAGGCCAAGGGAGTTTAATCTGAAGTCTGACCTGGTACTTAGGGCTGGAGTTGGAGGAGGCTTGCTGAAGCCCTCTGGGCGTGTGCCCTGAGGCGTGCTGTGGATAAGCTGGGTTACCTGGTTGCTTTCTGCCATTGTATTTACACCTGCATACCCTGGTCCTGGGCCATGATTAACTCAGAAGGTGGATCTAGCCCAGAAAGCAGGCTCCAAGGTGGAGCCTCCCTTCTTTCTTCCCATTTTCTTAGCTACCTCCTGCTCAGTGTGGTACTCTTTTGATTACTGTAGCTTTGTTGTAGGTTTTGAAATCAGGAAGTGTAACACTTCCAACGTTGCTCTTTTTAAGCTTGTTTGGTTATTCAGGATCCCTTGTAATTCTATATGAATTTTTTTTTTTTTAATTTTGTGAGACAAGGTTTTGCTATGTAGCTCAGATTGGCCTTGGACTCACTATGTAGCCCCAGGCTGGCCTTAAATTCATAGCGATCCTCCTGCCTCAGGCTCCCGAGTATGGGGGATTATAGGTGTGTGCCACCACACCTGGTTTAGGAATTTTAAATCAGGTTTTCTTTTCTGTAAAACAAAAAACTATTGGAGTTTTGACAGGGATTGCATTGAATAGGTAGATCAGTTTGAATAATGGCATTTTTTTTTTTTTTTTGGTACTCGGGATTGAACGCGGGACCTTGCACTTACAAGGCATCTTAATAATATTAATGTTTTCCAATCTGTGACCATGAGTGTCTTTGCATTTACTTAGGTCTTTAAATTTTTCAGCAGTGTTTGGTAATTTTCAGTGTATAAATCTACCTCTTTGGTTAATTTACTCTGAAATATTTCATTATTTTTTTATGCCATTGTAAAAACCTTTCTTTTTTTTTTTGTTTTTGGTACCTGGGATTTAACAGGACCTTGCACTTGCGAGGCGTGTGAGGCAGGCAGGGTGCCACTGAGCTAAATCCCCAGCCCTGGAAATGTTAGTTAGAAATACCACTGATTTTTACCTGCTGGTATTATATCAGTGATTCTGCTCAATTCATTATTAGCTCTAGTAGTTTTAAAAATACATTCTGGAGGATTTTTACATATAAGATCATGTCGTCTGTGAATATAGTTTTACTTCTGTCACTGGACAGGGTCCAAAGAGGTCCCCAATTCGGAAATGGAGAGCCTTGACTCACCCCACCTATGGGACTGGTTGCAGGTTTCCATCACATTAAAGGGATTTTCAGGACACATCATAAGAGGTATAAAAGGATTTACTAGGCAGAATTTAAGAGTGCAGGCCCTTTAAAATGGAGAGAGGTGCATTATAGTCTGGAGTGGACATGTGTTGTTTTTTAATAGCAAGACTTTTATTGGTACATTTTAGACATACGTAATGATAACACTCATCATAGGGAATTTGCAGCTGTGCATGATATATCTTGCTGCTGCTTCTTTTTGTTTTTTTTGAGACAGGGTCTTACTGTGTAGCCCAGGCTGGCCTTGAACTCCAGGCAATCCTTCTGCCTCAGCCTCTGGGGTGCTGGGATTACAGGCATGTGCCACCATGCCCAGCTAAAAGTACAATTTTTAATTATGATTTTCCTTATTTTTCTTTCTGCCTATATTTCTTCTATCCTTCCTTAGCCTGACCAAGTATATTCAGGGAATAATCTATTTTAAATCCTCCAGTCTTATTCAATAAGAAAAACAAATTGACATCTTGGATTTAGATCTAGGTTTACTTATGTAGTGTCATGTGGAACGGATAAAGCTGGTGGCTCAATTGATTGAACAGTCTGCTCTTTTCTCACAGATTGGTAATGCCAATTTATACATCAAATCCCCATCAATGCTGAGATCGTTTCTAGGCCTGGTTTTCTGTTCTGCTGATTTATGTGTAATGTACAAAATTTAAAGAGAAATCCTTCCGTGTCAAATGCGGTGGTGCATGTCTGTAATATCAGGAGGCTGAGATAGATACGGAACGTTCAAGGCTAACCTGAGTGCTGTTCAGTGAGAACCTGTCTCAAAAAGTGGGGGGAGTAGAGTGCTGGGGACATCATGAGTGCTTTCTTGGTTCAGTCCCCAGTAGTACAAAAAAACGTGACCAATAGCTGTAATCCCAGCTCTCTGGAGGCTGAAGGAGGAGAGTCACCAGACACGCGATAAGGAACCTACACCTCCCTCCTGCACAAGGAGTTGCAGGTTCACTGACTCTCATCACTGAAAATGAATTTTCAAGTTTGGTCTGTAAGAGGTTTGGGAAGGATTTATTGTGTAGAGATGTGAAAGTATACACTCAAAGTGATAGAGTGTCGTCCCTGGAGAGAGGCACATTATTTTGTGGACCTGGGGACATTTATGCTTCACTTGAGGAGGTGGAAACCCCAGGAAAAGGTTGCCCCCCCCCCCCCAGTGGGTACTGACCCATTTTACAGGGATGAACCCAGGTTTCTTTTCTTTTGTTTTTCCCAGATGGATAATTTAAGCATTTTGAATTCTCTCAACCTGTGTCTTTTGTTTTGTTTTGTTTTGGTACCGGGGATCGATTTCGGGTCCTTGCGCTTGCGCGGCAGGCGGCGAAACCACTGAGCTAAATCCCCGGCCTCTCAACCTGTGTCTTTATCTGTGTTCTTTACTTTTTTTTTGTACTGGGGATCCAACTCTGGACCTTGCGCTTGCGAGGCAGGTGTGGCGCCACTGAGCTACATCCCCGGCCCACTTTTTAAAATTTTATTTTATTTTGTTTTTACCTTTTTAAAAAGAACTAAGCAAGTTTATGGACTTTCAGTATTCTTGAGAAATTTTGGGTATATGGTTCTAGAGGGAGAGAAGCTTAAATCAGCCAAGAGGAGGCGGGAGATTAGGACATGGGGAAGACTTGCTGGGAAAGTGGGTGTGTCTTGTGAAGTAGAAAATCCCAGGGGGCTTGACAGGCTGCCTGTCCACTACACAGACCCAGGACACACCACGGAGCAGTCCCCAAAGCCTGCACGTGGATTTCTTGGGAGAACTTGAGCAGGTTTTCAATAGAATGACCTAGGCCTGAGGAGCGGGGAATACGAAAAGGACAGTTGCCATTGAATTCTGTGCTCCTGTAGGGTGGACT